AGGGGAGGGCCCCAAACCACGCCATCCGGGCCTGAGGGCGCCTTGAGGGAGCTGTGAGGGCCTGGGGAGGGGGCGAAGGAGCCTGGAGATGGAGTCAGGGGAGCCTCTCGTCTGTCTCCAAATTGAGGGGCCGTGATGAGGACTTCTTCCCTGAGTTTGGATTTTGGGAACCTTCTCCGCGGGGATCCAGTCCACAGATGAGATGACCCCACGTTCTGGGGAGGAGGGAGAAGCAGCCAACTCCCTGGGAGCTCGGGGACCCCATCGAGTCCTGGGCCACTGAATCTCCAAGTAGCCCTCTCTGGGGCTTTACCGAAAATGAGTATGGGCCTTTCTGGTGGGGTGTGTCTGTATGTGTTTCTTCACTGTTGCTTTAAACTCTTGAGAGTTCCAGGATCTTATCTTGTTTGGGGCTCACAATTCATACCCCAGGCAGAGTCTTGATTGGTTTTACAAACGCGGAAAAAGTCAGGCTCTGAAATTTGCCCAAGGCTGAGGAGTAAGTTAGGGACTCGAGGTCCCAGCCCCCAGCTCAGTACTCTGAGCTTTTCCATAGCGCCCCCCTCCACACACACACACACACACACACATACACACACACACACACACACACACACACACGGAAAATGGCTTTTAAATGGGATATTCCAAGAGAAGAATATGGGCAGGGCTGGCTGAGCATTTAAACATTGGGTTTCATTCATCATTGCCATGTTCATGGTACCGAAATACTAGAAACCTAGATGGGCTACTCCCTTATTAACAGGTGACTATGGAGCCCTAAGCAGACCTGTGCCCTTGAGGCAGGGCCCTAAGGTGAGTGAGTCTACCTTCAGGTAGATTGAGAGGGCAGGGGGAACCAAGAAACAAGGAAACTAGATAATTACAGGTGGAAGTGTGTTCTAGAAAGGAGAAAAGCAACTAGAGGTAAATAACTGGGGGGGCGGGGGATAGGGCCCAGGGGAGATCCCTGAGGACTGACGTTTGCACTGAGCCTGAAGAATGAAGGGAGCCAGGACTGGGACAGCAGTTTGCATAGGGGCTCAGTGGAGACAGGCTCCGGGTGGCTTCCTGTGTGCTGCCCTCTTCTAGGTACTGGAGGCACAGCCAGGGACAGGATGTCACAGCCCGCGTGAGCTGACACTCCAGTGGGGAAGTTTATCCAGAGGATGAACAGGAATATAATGTCAAGGTGGGAAGCTCTAGATTGCTTTTTCTTTCTCTTTGTTCTCCATTTGCCATGTTTCCCACCATAAGCACATAGTTTTACAATCAGACGGAAAGCCAATAAGTTCTTTTTTAACCTCTTGAGGTCCCCTCCAGGAGTCCTCAGTCTGCTTCAGCTCTCTTCATCTGTGATGCTGCTGGGGGCTCCTGGGTGCCTGGGCGCGTGCCCTCGGGCTTGAGGGAGGAGCTGCCTTCTCCCTGATTTGATCTGAAAGCAGGTGGTCATTTCACACTCCAGGGAGCAGGGTCTGCTTCTGTGTCCGCAAAGCACGGGACTTAGTAGCCAGGCATCATCTAATTTTGCCCCATCCGCTAGGCACCTCCTGTCTTTACACTTCAATTTATTTTCCGTAATTGCTGTGGGGCTACGTTGGGCTGAAAATCACTTTCTTTCCAAAGCAAAGAGCCAAGAGAATTAGCCTTCCTCTCCATCAAGAGGCGGGTCTCAGGGAACAGAGGGCTTTAAACAATGTGGTGTGAGGTTAGCTGCAGGGATGGGCCATTTTTCACAATACAGCTGTTCTTGAAACAACTGTTCGTGTGACAACAGCCATACACAACGACTGTTCCTGTGAATGGAACCTGGCATCTTTGGGAAACATTGCATAGGCAGTAACAACTCCCTGGCAGAGAGGGGTCCATGATCACCAGTGATTGAGCACCAACTGTATACCAGATGTTGGATCACCAGCCTAAAGAACTTCTTTACTTTACATCAAAGTGGAAAGACAATTTTAGGTGGTTTTTAAAATGGCATGGGAGCCTGAGCCAGCAGTGAGCATGAGGCTGGCCTCTAAAAGCTACTTGAGGGCTGCCCCATGGCTTAGCGGTTAAGTGCGCGCGCTCCGCTGCTGGCGGCCCGGGTTCGGATCCTGGGCGTGCACCGACGCACCGCTTCTCGGGGCATGCTGAGGCCGCGTCCCACATACAGCAACTAGAAGGATGTGCAGCTATGACATACAGCTATCTACTGGGGCTTTGGGGGAAAAATAAATAAATAAATAAAATTAAAAAAAAAAAAGAAATGCTTTAAAAAAAATAAAAGCTACTTGAACATTCCTTGAACTAATGTGTCACTATCACCCCTCTTCCCTTCACTGTCTCTGGCCCTCCCTCATTGGTCCCTGTGCCACCTCCTTGCCCATCAACCCTGGTTTTACACTTTTTGATACAGTGACGCTGTACTGCTGCAGGTCCTGGCTCCACCCTGTCACCTCTAGGTCTTTGCTCATTCTGTTCCCTTTGAAATGTCCTTCCTCTCCCTTGCTCCGTGCACTTCACCTTGACCTAGCTTACTCCTGCCCAATCTTGTCCATCTCAAGAGAACCTTCTCCAACAGCCGTAGACCCAGCTGAGGGCCCGTCTCATACAATTCCCATAATATTCAGTACAATCTCATAATATCCCATGAACCTTGCTATCTTGTTTCCACGTTGCATTAAAATTATGTTTACTTGATGGTTCCACCCCATAAACTGTGAATTACTTGAGAACAAGGGCTGTGTCTTGTTAATTTCTCTATCTGAGCACTTAGCACAGAGCCTGGCATAGACAGAGCTCTCAATACTGAGTGAATGGATGAATGAATGACTCTCATTATAGGCCTAAACTCAGAAAGAAGGGACCAAATGACAGTTGACCCCCATGTCCTGGGCCCAAGTAAATTTCTGGGGAGGCGATAAGATAATGTTTGCATGTTGGCAATGGGCAAGGACGTGCTGCTGGGTATATACTAGGCAAGTATCATGCTGTGATATGTCCCTCCCTCGGGCGTGTGCAGCCTCCTGGTTCTGGAGTTTTGGCTGGGGGAGGTGGTATGCGACTTCCAAGGGGGATTGGGTTATTTTCCCTCTTGCCTGAATTAACAGTACTATTTTTCTTTTGCACTTTTATTTTTGGGAAGGAAAAGTGCTTTGCCTGAAGGCTTGGCTTCCTGGGAGTTTCCAGAAACTGATTTTCTAGAAGTTGCCCAATTCTGCTAGAATCCTTGTCATTGTTTGTTTGTTTGTTTATTTTTGTGAGGAAGATCAGCCCTGAGCTAACATCCGTGCTAATCCTCCTCTTTTTGCTGAGGGAGACCGGCTCTGAGCTAACATCTATTGCCAATCCTCCTCCTTTTTTTTTTCCCCAAAGCCCCAGTAGATAGTTGTATGTCATAGTTGCACTTGTCATTGTTTAAAACTGACTTCTGCCAAGGGAAAGAAAGAGAGTTGCAAAGAATCCCTAGTCTGAACCTCAAAGATCATGGAATCTAACATCCCTCCCCATGTAAGAATTTCTAAAACATCTGGCCCAGTGATCTTCCTGCCTCTGCTTATGGGGACTGATGGCTTCAGGCAGATAATCTGGACAGAAGGCTTGCGTCTCCACATCCCAGAGCCCCTTTGGGAAAGAATAGGAACAGCGAAGATGACCCCAGAGTACCCTCCCAGCCACTTCCAGGAGAGGAGTGTGGTGGGGGCTCCCTACAATGGGAAGTGGCTTTTCCTGGTCACTGCCGTGACCCTTTACGTGTGCACAGGCCTTTAGGGTTAGAACAGCCCCTTCCTCGGCCAGTGCTCGTCTGGTCTTCACAGTGACCTCATTAGGCCAACTAGGCGGGATCATTTTTAGATGGGGCTTAAAGCTGCTTGGTAACCTGCCCGAGGTCACAGAAGAAGGCAAACCAGACTTTGTCCCATAGCCCTCACTGCCCACCCACACCGATCCCAAATATGTCCAGACTTATGCTGTGGGCCAGACTAACACTCAGCAATTTGGTACTCGTCATATGTACCTATGTATTGTCATGTTTCCAGAACATTTTTAAAAATTCTTAGCTCCATTAAAATCATAGCATTCGTCAGCACATAAAAACTCTTAGGAATTTCTGCTTAAGTCCAGTTAAGAGGTTATAGTAGATCCTAGGTAGATTAACCAATGATTATCTTTCAAACAGACCAAGAACATCTCCTGGCCAGGGGTCTGCATTATGATGTCACAAGGCTGCACGGTAGGGTAAAGACCCTCGGCCTCATTTATGCACTTAACAAACATTGGTTGAATGCCCACCCATGGCCTGGCCCTGCATCGGGACCTAACCATGGACAAGACCCAGAATCTGCCTTCAAGGAGGCGGCCAG